AAATGCACGGATGCACCCGTTAACCCAATTCTTGGTGTTCCTCCTACCCACACACACACACATACACAAAACCATTGTGTTCCTTCCCTTTTTTCCTCTTGCGTTTTCCCTTCGTCTGTCCTTACTCAGACCCTGTTGATTGTACATTCTACCCAATTTTCTTCCTTTTTTGCGGAGCCGCCTTGCTTCCTGGAACAGCGCCGGAAAGACGCCGGCCACACTGCACGATGAGCATTGCTGGCACGATGATCCAAAATGAACTGGGCAGGACGGTCATCATTAGCGTGTCAAATGTGGAGTTGTGTTTTGTGTACTTCCCTCCCTCGACGACCTCCATCGCCAGATAGAGCACCGTCTTGTACAGAGTCATTACACTTACGACAAGAGCCAACTGAAGGCCTTCGACGACGCTTCCCCTATGGGACAGCACCAACGCAAGGATGCCAAGGGCGACCTCCAACATATTCATCCAGCTCTGCACCACCACAAACGCATCGTCGTTTGGCGCGTAGCGACGATCGTAGGTGGCGTACAGCACCCACCAGTTGAACGGTGGTGTGTCTGCTAAAGGGTGCGGCACACTTGGCGAGGAGGATCGGGTAAGAACAAATACGCCATCAATTAAAACTACAGGTGCAGTGAGGAGAAACCACAACTTGGCAAGTAATGGGAGTTCTAAAGTGGCCATCGTCGTGTGTTGTTACCCTACTGCGTTTCCTTCGCACGTCCCACGGCCTTCTCCCTCCAAAAGCACAGGCGACTGTCTCGTCCAGTTCGTGAGTGAGAGGCGTGTGTGTGTCTGTGCGTTCAGGCTATCTTCTCTTTTCTAGCGGAGAGATTCACGCAAAAAAACAACAACAACAAAAAGGAAAGAAAAAAAAACGAATAGACCAAAAGCAAGCTACAGGCCGGCATTTGTCAAGGCAGTGGAAGAGAAACCGCGACGAGGGAATTCGCTCCCTCGCCCCTCGCCCCCGCTTGGACGCAGACGCCGTCTGGATCTCGCGCTCTCCCCCTGTCTCTCTATAGAAACGGCTTCGGTGGCCACGTGCCACAAAGCCCGAAGGGAGTAAGCCCAAGCAGAACAGTAGTAGGGAATGTTTACAATAGAAAGCGAAAATGAAAAAAAAAAGAACAAGCCGAGAATAGCGACGCTAAGTAATTGCTTTTCTGTTACAACAAAAAAAAAAGCAAGGTCCCTGAAGCCCACTCCAGTCCAGTCTGCGCCCCCACCCCCGCTCTCAGCTACGCAAGGGCCCCCACCCTAACGACGTCGCAACGTGTGCCGCGGCGGTACCCCACTGGCTCGTTTACCCCCATCCTCCTCATCATCATCATCATCATCATCGTCGTCGTCGTCGTCGCCGTCATCATCGTCGTCGTCGTCGTCGTCATCATCGTCGTCGTCATTGCCCTTTTCGTCCTTTCTCTCATCACCATCTTCCTCCTCCTCTTCATCCTCCTCGTCATCATTGTCCTTTTCTTTCTTTCCCTCACCATCATCATCATCCTCCTCTTCATCCTCTTCTTCATCCTCCTCCTCATCCTCCTCTTCATCCTCCTCTTCATCCTCCTCCTCATCCTCTTCTTCATCCTCCTCCTCATCCTCCTCTTCATCCTCCTCTTCATCCTCCTCTTCATCCTCCTCTTCCTCTTCTTCATCCTCCTCTTCATCCTCTTCTTCATCCTCTTCTTCATCCTCCTCTTCATCCTCCTCTTCATCCTCCTCTTCATCCT